GGCCGCGACCATGGGCCAGGTGGCGCTGCCGGAGCTGAAGCGCTTCGGCTACTCCGGCGCGCTGGCGACCGGCAGCCTGGCCGCCGGCGGCACCCTGGGCATCCTGATCCCGCCCTCGGTCATCCTGGTGATCTACGCCATCCTGACCGAGCAGAACATCGCCAAGCTGTTCATCGCCGCGCTGGTCCCCGGCCTGCTGGCGGCGGCCGGCTACCTGCTGGCGATCGCCGCCTACGTGCGCCTGTTTCCCGAGGCCGCCGGCCGGCGCGCGCCCAGCCGCGCGGCCGAGCGCTGGCAGGCGCTGGGCCGCGTCTGGCCGGTGCTGCTGGTCTTCCTGCTGGTGATCGGCGGCATCTACGCCGGCTGGTTCACGCCGACCGAGGGCGCCGCCGTGGGCGCCGCCGGCACCGGACTGATCGCCTGGCTGAACGGCGGGCTCGACGGGCGCGGGCTGCGCCAGGCGATCCTGGCGACCGCGGTGTCGACCGGCATGATCTTCTTTATCCTGCTGGGCGCGGCGGTGTTCAACTCCTTCCTGGCCTTCTCGCAGTTGCCGCAGGAGGCGGCGCGCTTCGTCGGCGAGAGCGGACTGAGCCCCTGGATCATCCTGCTGGCGATCCTGCTCTGCTACCTGGTGTTCGGTTGCGTCATGGACTCGCTGTCCATGATCCTGCTGACCATCCCGATCTTCTTCCCGATGGTGATGGCGCTGGATTTCGGCCTGAGCCCGGAGCAGACGGCGCTGTGGTTCGGCATCATCGTGCTGATCGTAGTCGAGGTCGGGCTGATCACGCCGCCGGTCGGCATGAACCTCTTCGTCATCAACTCGCTGTCGGAGGGGGTGCCGATCGGCCAGACCTACCGCGGCGCCCTGCCCTTCATCTGCAGCGACTTCCTGCGCGTGGCGCTGCTGCTGCTCTTCCCCGGTCTCACGCTCTTCCTCGTCGACGCCCTCTACTGATCCCAGCAGGGAGACCGCCATGCCGGCCAGCACGCCCCGCCACGCCGCCCAAGGGCCCGGGACGCGGCGCGTCCAGGTCGCCATCATCGGCGCCGGTCCGGCCGGCCTGCTGCTCGGGCAGCTGCTCCAGGGGGCCGGCATCGACACCGCGATCCTGGAACGCCGCACGCGCGACTACGTGCTGGGCCGCATCCGCGCCGGAGTGCTCGAGCAGGGCACCGTCGGCCTGCTCGAGGAGGCCGGCTGCGCGGCCCGCCTGCACGCCGAGGGGCTGGTCCACGGCGGCGTCAACCTGGCCTTCGACGGCCAGCTCCACCGCATCGACCTGACCGACCTGACCGGCGGCCGGGCGGTGACGGTCTACGGCCAGACCGAGGTCACGCGCGACCTGATGGACGCACGCGCGGCCAGCGGCGGCGCCACGGTCTACGGGGCCGAGGCGGTGCAGCCCCACGACTTCGACGGGGCGCGCCCCTACCTGACCTACCGCCACGCCGGACGGACCCACCGCCTCGACTGCGACTTCATCGCCGGCTGCGACGGCTTCCACGGGATCAGCCGCCAGAGCGTGCCCGCGGCGGCGCTGAGCACCTACGAGCGGGTCTACCCCTTCGGCTGGCTCGGCCTGCTGGCGGACGTGCCGCCGGCCGAACCGGAGCTGGTCTACGCCAACAGCCGGCGCGGCTTCGCCCTCTGCTCCATGCGCTCGCCCGGCCGCAGCCGCTACTACCTGCAGTGCGCGCTCGACGAGGCGGTCGCGGCCTGGTCGGACCAGGCCTTCTGGGACGAGCTGCGCCGCCGCCTGCCGGCCGCGGTGGCCGCGCGGGTGACCGCCGGGCCGGCGCTGGAGAAGTCGATCGCCCCGCTGCGCTCCTTCGTTGCCGAGCCGCTGCGCTTCGGCCGCCTGTTCCTCTGCGGCGACGCCGGCCACATCGTCCCGCCGACCGGCGCCAAGGGCCTGAACCTGGCCGCCAGCGACGTCAACTACCTCTACCGGGCGCTGGTCGAACACTACCGCGAGGGCTCCGACGCCGGCCTCGACGGCTACTCCGCGCACGCCCTGGCGCGGGTCTGGAAGGCGGTGCGCTTTTCCTGGTGGTTCACCGCCCTGATGCACCGCTTCCCCGACGACGGCCCCTTCGACCAGAAGATTCAGGAGGCGGAGCTAAACTATCTGGTCGGCTCGCGCGCCGCCGCGGCCGCGCTGGCGGAGAACTACGTGGGCCTGCCCTACTGATCTCCTGCCCTACTGATCTCCTGCCCGACGGCCCCCTGCCCCACGGGCCCCTGCCCTATCGATCCGGGCAGGCCGCGGCGTTCGGCGAGACCAGGGCGAACTTCTTGATCTTGCGGTGGACCGTCGAGCGCGAGACGCCGAGTTCGCGCGCCGTGCGGCTGACGCACCACTGGTGGCGCAGCAGCGCGGCGAGCAACACCTCGCGCTCGCAGGCCCGACGCTGCGGCGGCGCCGGGCAGCCCCCCTTGGCGAGCCGCGCCGCGCAGGGGTGCGTCGCCACCGGCGCGGGCTCGGCGCCGGCGGACAGGCCGTCCGCGGCGCGCGACGCGGGCGCCGCCAACACCTCCTCGGGCAGATGCGCCGGCTCGACGCGGCCGCCGTCGGCCAGGGCGATCGCCACCTGCAGCGCGTGGCGCAGCTCGCGCACATTGCCCGGCCAGTCATGCCGCTCCAGTCGGTCGCGCGCGGCCGGCGACAAGGCCGCCTCGCGGCCATGCGCCTCGCATTCCATCGCGAAGACCCGCGCGATCAGCGCCGCCTTGTCGGCCCGCCGGCGCAGCGGCGGCAGACACAGCTTGACGCCGCTGATGCGGTAGTAGAGGTCCTCGCGGAAACGCCCCTCGCGCACCAGGTCGCGGATGTCGTGCAGCGTGGCGCAGACGATGTTCACGTCGACCGTCGTCGCCGTCCGGCTGCCGACCTTGGTCACCTCCCGCTCGGCCAGGACGCGCAGCAGGCGCGTCTGCAGCTCGTAGGGCATGTCGCCGATCTCGTCGAGGAACAGGGTGCCGCCGTGCGCCTCCTCGATCTTGCCGCGCATGCCCTGCTTGCGCGCGCCGGTGAAGGCGCCGGGCTCGTAGCCGAACAGCTCGCTCTCGATCAGCGTCTCCGGAATCGCCGCGCAGTTGATCGCCACGAAGGGCTTGTCGGCGCGCCGGCTCGCCAGGTGGACGGCCTTGGCGAAGACCTCCTTGCCGGTGCCGGTCTCGCCGGTGAGCAGGACCGGGATCCCGGCATCGACGACGCGGCGGATGCGCGCGACATCGCGCTGCAGGCCGGGGTCCTCGCCGGCCAGGCGGTCGAGCGTCAAGCCGCCGCAGCCGCGGCGTCCGGGCGCCGGCGCCTTGGCTCGCGCGGGTATGGCGAGGCGGCTTGCTTCCGGGGGCAGGGCCAGCACGCAGACCTGAGCGCCGTTGCGGGTGCAGACCGGCTGTCCGCGGCGCAGGGAGGCGCCGCCGACATCGAGAAGACGGTCCTCCGGCGCGTCGAACAGCTCGGTGAGCCTGGCGCCAACCACCGGCTGCCGGCCCTGCGCCTGCAGCAAACCGGTCGCCGAGCGGTTGGCCGCCACGACCGCGCCGGCGGCATCCACGGCCAGCAGCCCGTCCCGTTCGGGATCGCAGGCGGCCTGGTCCGGCACCAGGCGCAGGACCCAGCTATCGCGAAAGGAGGCGATGAAGAAGGCGCTTTCGATCCGCGCCGCCGCCTGCTTGACCAGCGACAGGGCCAGGGCCTGGGCTTCGGCCGAGGCCGCGCTCATCGCCGAGACGTCGAGCACCGCGACCAGCCGCCCCTGCGGGTCCAGGATCGGGCAAACCGTGCAGGTCAGACCCGTGTAGCAGGCGCGAAAATGGTCGCGGCGGTGCACCGTCAGCGGCTGGCCCGTGGCGATGCAGGTGCCGACACCATTGGTCCCGACGAAGCGTTCGCCCCAGAGCGAGCCGGGGTGCAGCCCGGCCTGTTTCAGCTCCGCCTCGGCGCCGGCGTCGCCGATCAGGTCCAGCGCGGCCCCCTGGGAGTCGGTGAAGAGGATGACATAGCCGGCCGCGGTCACCTGTCGCTCGAGCCGCCGCAGCTCCGGCCGGGCGATCGTCAAGAGCTCGCGCAAGGGCGCGCGGCGCTCCTTCAGCTCGCCGCTGGTCAAGACAGGCAAGCCGCCAGCCGCCGTCGGGTCCAGGCCGTAGGCCTGCAGGCAGCGGGCCCAGGACTCCGCGATCAGATCGCGCCCCGCCTCGCTCGCCGCAGCCTCGCGGCCGGATTCGCCGCCAGACTCGCCGCCGGCGATGCCGGAGAGGATCCGCTCGACATGCGCCGAGCTATCGGACCGCAGCATCACTCTCTCCTCCCTGCCGTTGCGCCGTGGACGGACCGGCGACTGCGAGACGGGCGACTGGCGACTGGCGACTGGCAACTGGGGGGTTGGGAGATTGGGGGATTGGGGGACTGGCGCACCGTCGCGCCAAGCCTCCCAGAAACCTGCAACCTGGCAGAAACCCGCAATTAGGGCGCGAAATTGCCTGCATTCCAAGAAGCTTCCCGTGCCGTCCAGCCACGCAAGTGGCTACGACCAAAAAGTGTATAAATCAAGCCGCGCTCTTGCGATATAATTGAGTCAAGCACCCCCTTAACTCAGCATCTGGTTGAAACCGAGACCGCATCCGTTCCGCTCCCGACTGGTCTCGGCGCCGCCATGGCGCGGCCGCGCCGACCGCCGCGAGGCTGCGACACCTGTCGCGCCGCCGCCACGCCCTGCAACAGGTGTCGATCCGGAGCACTACCGATTTCCACAGTGATAACAGCATGTTAAATTTTGGCATGCCATTTGCTTAATCCCGCCACGTCAGGCCCGAAGCCCCCCGCAGCCGCAACGACGAGGGGCGGGACCGAGACCACGGACGACACGGGGACGGACAGCGCATCTGGGACCACGCGCGACGCGCCGGCGCATGCCGGTGTCGTAGCCCGATCTGCTCCCGCCATCCCCCGCAGGAAGCTCGCCCCTTGGTGGAGGAGACGGAACTCATGCAGGTTGAAACCGCCAACGACCCCAGCACGGCCGCCTTCAGTCGGGCCGTCGACCGGCTGGTGAACCTCTCGATCGACAACTATTACAACCCCTACCGGCAGTTCGACTGGGTCGACAGCATCGGCGACGACGCGTGGTGGATGTCGCCCAGCCTGATGACGATCCACGGCACCGAGCTGGAGACCGAGCTGTCGGAGGCCCAGCGCAAACTGCTGTCGAAGTGGGAGAGCATCAACTTCTACAGCCTCAACGTCCACGGCATCCGCGAGTTGATGAACGCGGTGATCGACCGCATCCACACGCCGGGCTACGAGGTGCCGAGCGAGTTCTTCCACCATTTCGTCGGTGAGGAGAACGAGCACATGTGGTTCTTCGCCCACTTCTGCCTGAAGTACGGCGGCAAGCTCTATCCCGACCGCCAGGTCAAGTTCGACAGCCAGCTCGATCCGGAGGTGGAAACCTTCCTGGTCTTCGCGCGCATCACGATCTTCGAGGAGATCGTCGACTACTTCAATGCGCGCATGGGCAAGGACCGCAGCCTCGCCGAGACGATCCAGCAGATCAACGAGATGCACCATGTCGACGAGAGCCGGCACATCGCCTTCGGGCGCAAGCTGCTGACTCTGCTCTACGACCGGCTGCGCGCCAGCCGTTCGCCCGAGGAGCTGCGCGAGATCGAGGCCTACCTGCGCCGCTACATGGTCGCCAGCATGCGGCAGTTCTACTCGGTCGAGGTCTATCGCGACGCCGGGCTCGACCAGCCCTTCAAGCTGCGCCAGCGGCTTCTCGCCGACCCACGGCGCGCCGAACTCGACGAGCTGGCCCTGAAGCGCACGACCGGCTTCCTGGTTGCCCAGGGAATCCTCGACGACACGCCGATCTTCCTGCAGTGAGCGAGGCCCAGACCATGACCGATGCCGCCCTGGCAGCGCAGACCGACCAGCAGCTCGACGCCGTGCTCGAGTGGCTGCACGCCAAGAATCCCGACGCCGGCGAGATCGGGATGCAGGTCGACCTGATCGAAAACCGCCTGGTCGACAGCCTGGACTTCATGGAGTTCGTGCTGCTGCTCGAGGAGATCAGCGGCCGCGAGAACCTGATCGACCAGCTCTCGGTCGATCACTTCCGCACCCTCGCCTCGATCCGTGAGCAGATCCTGACAGCGTGAGCCCGGGACGGCCGCGACAGAACGGCCGCGACCGGCCGACCCCGCGCCGACAGGCAAAACGAGAGGAAACGCGAGATGACCACTGATCCCACGGCGCGCGCCGCCGCGCCGCACGACCACGGCTACTGGGCCGCACCCGACGGCCTCGCCACCCTTGGCCCGGAGCTGGTCGAGGTGCGCGACCTGCTGGAGACCCGCATCCGCGACTGGGCCGCCGAGATCGGCGGGGCCGAGATGGTCTATCCGCCGCTGCTGCGGGTCGCCGATCTGGAGAAGATCGACTACTTCGCCAACTTCCCCCACCTGGGCATGATCGTCAGCCACATCGGCGAGGAGCATCTGGAGCGGGTGGCCGAAGGCGCCGGCCACCACGACTGCATCCACGCCGCGCAACTGGCCGATGCCGGCCTCGTCCTGCCCTCGGCCGCCTGCTACGGCGTCTACTTCCACCTGCAGGACCGGGTCCTCTCGCGCAGCCAGTACATCACCACGGTGGTGCGTTGCTTCCGCAAGGAGGCGGCCTACGACCGCCTGCGCCGCCTGCTCGGCTTTTCCATGCGCGAGATCGTCTGCGTCGGCACCCGCGAGGACGTGCTGGCCCACCTCAAGACCTTCCGCGAGAAGATCGCCGACTACGCGGGGCGGATCGGCCTGCCTCTGAAGATCGAGGCGGCGAGCGACCCCTTCTTCTCCAAGGACGCCGCCCGCACCGCCATGCAGCAGCTCTTCCCGGTCAAGGAGGAGTTCGTCTTCGACGGCGACCTGGCGATCGCCTCGGTCAACTTCCATCGCAACTTCTTCGGCGAGCGCTGCAACATCAAGCTGACCGACGGCAGCCCGGTGTTCACCGGCTGCGTCGCCTTCGGTCTGGAGCGCTGGCTGCAGGCCCTCGTCGAGCACTACGAGGGCGACTTCGCCGACATCCGCGCCGCCCTGGCGGCCGGCGAGTAGGAGGGCGCGATGACCGGCAGCGCAATGACCGGCGGCGCGACGACCGGCAGCGCCCGCCCCTGCGGCCCCCTGACCGGACTGCTCGGCTGCGAGATCCCGCTGATCCAGGCCGGCATGGGCGGCGTCGCCGGGCCGCCGCTGGTCGCCGCCGTGGCCAATGCCGGAGCGGCCGGCATCGTCGGCCTCTACAAGCACAAGCCCGAGGAAATCCGCGCGCTGATCGCGCAGACGCGGCAGCGCACCGAACGGGTCTTCGGCATCAACCTGGTGCCCGAAGTGGTCGACGAGGCGGTGCTGGCCGAGCAGGTCAAGGCGGTGCTGGCCGAACCGAGCTGCCGCCCCTTCATCACCTTCTTCGGCCTCGCCCCCTCGGCGGTCTGCGATCTCGCGCGCGCCGCCGGCCGGCCGCTGCTGGTCCAGGTCGGCAGCCTGGAGGAGGCCCGCACCGCCGTCGCGCGCGGCGCCCAGGCGCTGATCCTGCAGGGCCACGGGGCCGGCGGCCATCACCTCGGCACCGCTTCCACCCAGGCGCTGCTCGCCGCGGTGCGGGCCGACGACCTCGGCGTGCCGCTGGTGGTGGCCGGCGGGATCGGCTCCGGCGCGGAGTTCGTGCGCTACCGGCGACAGGGCGCGGCCGGCGCGCTCTGCGGCACACTGTTCATCTGCGCCCGGGAAAGCTGGGCGCACCCCGCCTTCAAGCAGCGGGTGATCGCGGCCGAGCCGCGCGACACGATGATCAGCTCGCTGTTCGAGATCGGCTGGCCGGGCCGGCCGCACCGGGTCCTGCACAACCGCCTGACCCGCGCGGAGGCGCCGTTGCCGCGCAGCTTCATCGGCCGCACCGAGTACTTCGGCCGCCCCTACCCGGTGCCGCGCTACAGCGCCGCCGTGCCTACCGTCTTCACGCAGGGCAAGGTCGAGGAGATGGCGATGTACTGCGGCACCTCCTGCCGCGACATCGAACGCGAGGCCGGCGCGGCCGAGATCGTCGCGGCCTTCGCCAAGGCGACCCTGACGGCCGAGGCCGCCGCCCGAGCGCCGGCCTGAGGGCCGGTCTTAGCGCCGGTCTTAGCGCCGGTCTGGCGTTGGCCTGGACGCCGTCTGGGCGCCGGCCTGGCGCCACGCGACGAGACGAACAGACCCGAGACCCAGGGAGGACGCCCCGTGGACCTTCAGTTCCTGCAGCTCACCAACTCCGCCTTCAAGTACTGGGAGTGCCAGCCGCTGTTCACCCTGGCGGCCACCGACGTCTTCGACCTGCTCGCCGAGGGGCCGAGGACGGCCGAGGAGATCGTCGCCGCGCGCGGGCTCGACCCGGTCGTCGGCCGCGGCCTGCTGGACGCCGGGGTCGCGCTGAAGCTGCTGACCAAGGAGGGCGAGCGCTACGCCAACTCGCCCTCGGCCACGCGCTTCCTGACCCGCGGCAGCCCCGACTGCCTGTTGCACTGGGTGCGCGTCATGGGCCGCTGGGCGGCGCCCTGGGCCCGGTTGACGGAGGTGGCGCGCAGCGGCCGCAACGCCGAATCCCAGGGCCTGCGCCTGGGTCAGGATCCGGCGTACATGCGCGACTTCATCCTGGGCATGCACGAGTACGCCAGCTTCTCGGCCGATCAGCTTGCCGACCACGTCGACCTCGCCGGGGCCGAGCGGCTGATCGACGTCGGCGGCGGCGCCGGCACCTACGCCCTCGCCCTGCTGCGCGCCTACCCGGAGCTGCGGGCCGAGGTGCTGGATCTGGAGCCGGTGCTGGCGATCACCCGCGAGGTGGCCGAGGCCGCCGGCCTGTCGCAGCGCATGAGCACGGCGGCGGTGGACTACATGAGCGATCCCTTCGGCCCCGACGGCGCGGCCGATGCCGTGCTGCTGTCCAACGTGCTGCACCAGGAGGCGCCGGAGGTCTGCCACTCCATGCTCGCCCGCGCGCTGGCCGCGGTGAAGCCGGGTGGCCAGGTCGTGATCCAGGGACACTTCCTCAACGACGACCGCATCTCCCCGACCTTCACCACATTGCACAACCTCTCCGCGTTCATCCTCTGGGAGGGCGGCCAGAGCTACACCGCCGCCGAGATGATCGAGATCGCCGGCGGGGCGGGCCTGGCCGAGCTGAGCTGCGAGGCGGTCGGCAAGACGGGCCTGTCGGTCGTCACCGGTCGCCGCCCCCAGAGCGCGGCGCGGGCGTCGCGGCCGGACAGCGCGGCGGCGGCGGCCTCGACCTGAAGGCCCCGTACCGCCCCGGCCGGCCGATGAGCCCCCGCTGCGCCGGCCCGCGACGCCGGCCCGCGACGCCAGCCCGCGACGCCGGCCCGCGACGACCGGCGGCCAGGACTGGCTA